GGAACTCTATGTAGTGTTATTGATCATGTATTAATATTAAGCCTCCGTAGTTCAATGGACACAAAAATGCTCTAATTTTCATTTAAATTGTTATAAAAGGTATTTGAAAATGATTTTTATTTTGTGGGTAAAGTATACATTAAAAGAAAACCTCACTGGTGCTATTTTCCAGCTTCCGAGCGCAACAGTTTCATCGATAACTTCAGGAGAATCATCGAGGTTATTCGTACCTTCATCATCGACAACAAATTTGACCCATGGGTCATCGTCAGGCACGAGCGCGAAGCTGTTCGTCTACCGTAAGTACCTCTCTATACTAATATCACAAAACTGAAGAGTTTGTTTGTTTGAATACTTTAATCTCAGGAACTGCTGATTCGAATAGAAAAATGATTTTATGTTGTTTGGGGCATTTATCGAGGAAGCCTTTAAGAAATACGGAAAAAGCGGGGAGAATAATTGAACTTTGAGGGCTTCCGTTGCGTGCTTTGCGAAGACGGTTCAAGAAATCGAAATAATGTATTAAAATATGATTATTCTTATAATGATCTAACAAAATGTTCGCGAAAGACCGATGGGACGCGGACGGCGTGGTGGGTACAGCTAGTACTTATAGAAATAACTTAGTCATCTACAAATGTGGTGGGGTTTACGAACTGTTTTAAACAGGTATAATTCTTCAATTAGCATTTAAAATATGAATTCAAATCGCAGTAATTATGTTTTGTTAATCAACTTATAAATAAGATATTCTTACACGTAAAACTGAAATTCAGTAAACATATTGACATTTATTTCTCTTCAGAATAAAAGATATTGTTGTAATTTCTTAGACACCTGAACGTCAAATACATAATTGAGAACATGGAAATGACCGGCGCCAGCAACATCCGCATCAACAAGATGGAATACTCCACCCTCTTCAACAGGCTCGATTACGACTTGGAGCTTCCCGAAATCTCCTTGACCGTTGGTGGGTTTTAGTCCACAATTATGCTTTAATGATAGCGGAAGACGAAAGTTGTCTGAAATTGACGTTTTTTGATTCAGGTAGCTTTGGTATCACCGGTTTGATTTTGACCAGAAATGTCAACACTGCCGCCTCTGGATCGTAAGTATTTATATGTATATTTCATTTAAAACCACTTTTAACGGTTAGTAGCTTATTTTCCCTATACATTTCGCATTTTAAACTGTTTAATGTATTTTATTTTCATGTGCGACACTCGTGTCAACTCGTGCAAACAATTTTTTGGTCCAATGGAAGCTAGTATGTATCTTTAGCAATTAGCGAACGTTAATTCTCCACGACCTGGCTGGGTAACCAAAATGATTCTTATAGAAGAAGAAACAAATTTTATTCTTAACAAAAAATTTAAAATGAATTGAAAAAAATTACGACTCGGCAGGACTTGAACCGGCACCGTCAGCGTCAAATTTTTTCAATTTCTTTTTGTATTTTAATTTATGTGCATGTGTAATATTATTTTTAAAACAAAACAGATTTCGATTCATTCATTATCATAGATTCATGAATTGTGGTTAGAAATAATTTTGTGGACAACGTATAATTTTTAGACTGAAGATATCCGGAATTCGCATCGTCGGTGAAGCTCACGTCACCGTTGACTTGTCTGGAATCACCATTAATACCCTTGAAGCCAGATTCACCCTTGGTGGAACCGAGGTAAGACACGGAAACTAAAGTCAGTTGCTCATGACGTGAGACCGGGTACTATATATGCTAATGATTTATTTTGCTCTCTTCAGGCTCAGCTTAAAGTCACCGTCCAAGAAAACGACGTGAGCGAACGCGTCAATGTTTTCATCAATGAAAGAATTCCAAACTGGATTAAGAACAACGAGGTAATATAATTTTGTCCCTAAATGCCCTTCAAAGACCTAATGAAGGTTTTTGTAATTGTTTTTTTAACATAGAGGAGGCCAGACAACGACGGGGTTGACTTGGGGGTGAAATAGCCCAGCCATATAAGATCTAGACGAGACGCGCTGTCCATCTATCTCGCTTTGGATGTTCGGAAATCTACAGAACGAAGCTGAAACGCGATTAAACTTCACGACTTTTTCTTATGTGGACGGTGGTTCGTGACTCGGACGGAATTTTCAATATTCCTACCACCTATTTAATATCGAGATTTGATCAACACGTTTCAGAAAAATTAGAAAGATGGGTAGGGATCGAACCCGCTCGTCAAAATGTGTGATTAATGTGAATTTCTTAAATCGGAAAGGACTCACTTGATGCAAATGTGTGGTTGAAGTAATAATTAATTCATAAATATCAAATAATGTACTTTTAATTACAGCGGGACATCAACAGGGTTCTCGGAAACGTCATCAAAGCTATTGCTCAGCGTATCTTGAACAGACCACGAACAGTTGATTTGTGGTAATGAAACACACAATAAACATATGAGTTAATATTCAAGCCTTTCATTAAGATCCGTTTGTGTTTCGTTCTGTTGCGATTTTTTTCGTAAGAGAGGTCACTAGGTATTATTTACCAAATGAGATGGATTTTAGTTTAAATTGCTGAGTTCTTCCAATGTAAAGTCAGATACAGAACTTTATAATTATTATATTTCATTCCAAGAAGACGTTTAATGCAGTGAACTTAAAACATCAATATTTTTCTCTATAGACATATACTTTTTTAATATTTTAGTCAATTTATCTCAGTGTTTCTAAGTTTTTACTAGTTTATGTTGTAAGGGTGGAATATATATAAAAAAAAACTACACACTTTTTGTATTTTCAGTCTCATAAAGATTATATTATGATTGAGTTTTGAAATTTTCCACTTATTTCTTACAGTATGATAGTGTTTCCTAATTTCTGTGATAATAATAACATTTTAAATAAGAGTTAAGATGTGGCAAGGGACACCTTTATTCCAGTGTACAAGATTTTCTGAATCGAAACACCCCCGCTTTCATCCCCGCTGCATCTCCTAATAAATATCTGATTTGATAATTAAAATTACTTTGATCTTACGTTAAGTCTTGTCAAACACTAGAGCTGATAAAAGCCTTTAGGAGGTCCAGTTCTCTGGTCAATTATTGATTGCAGACCAGTTAGGAAAAGGAAATATACACAATCTTAGCCAATTTTGGCTTGAAAGTTTAAAAAAATATATTTTCAGTAGTTGACCACTCCCTCGTACATTTCTTGTTTGCAAATTTGACTAGCAAGAGATAATAATAAAATAACAAAAAAGTTACAACATTTAGATCTATAGACATTATTACTCTTCGGTGGAGACATGAAAGTTTATAAGAGAAGAGAAATGAAACACAAATAAAGGTAACAAGGGAATTCAAATAACATAATAAGGTGTGCAAATCGCACTCTCTAGGGAATATCTACAGCTCTATAAACTATACCAAAGTGAAATAATCTAAAGTATTTTTGATGTTTTGAATCTCTATCTAATTGACTTTTGACTAAAACTAAAAAAGCTTAAATCTTTTAATACTCATCAAGGCATCTAGTCACCTTGTTCGTACCACATATAGCCAAATATAGAATATATAAGTTGTACGTTGAAAGGAAATGTTAGAAACGACTGAAAACGCGGAATAAGAACAATTACAGATTCTACAAAAATTACGAACGAAAGTTGTGATAAATGTTATCGGATAATACCTTCTTAGTGAATTTCATTAAGATAGCATTCATTTACGTAATTGGAGCAAAAAATGAGACTAATAATAATGTATAATCAGAAATTCTAAATAAAATCTCTAGTTTCTGTGATTGTATTAGCGAGTTTGAGTCAGCGATTAGATAGAAAATTAGACTCCGGTCGTGCCCGCAATACTAAAAACATGTATTGTATTTTTACGTAAAAACACGTCGATACACACTTTTAAGCAAACTTAAGCTAAAACCATTATATTCTCTAAGTACAAGTTACATACCTCTGGTCCAGGAATCGGCTTCTGAATTTCGCGCACTATTATGGTGGGTTTGTGTGAATAGTAAGTGGAATTTCGGGTACCCACAAAATTCGGAATTCACTGATTTTAAAAAACGTAATAACTCTTCGACATACACTAGTCTCGCGAAAACTTTTACAACGTTGACAAGAACGATCATATCCTTTCTAATACGCCGGCGTTAAACTATAATTATAAACGATTGGCAATCGAAATAAGAAATGTCCACAACCGACTCGCACGAGTGGCACCAAAGCGTATAACAGCGCGGGCTGACCTAACTCCGCCGAAGAAAAACAAAACTACCTCCATTAAAAATTACATTTTATTCCGAACATATTATGAAACAATTTTTCAAGAATCGTAGTAAATATAAGTATATTATAAACGTAGTATCATATATGTGTTTAAATAGAATAGTTATCCATTGTGCTATTGTGCACAAAAATTACAATTACATCTGTCTTCGTCTAACGAAATGTGTAGTGGCGCCAATTTTCCACTAAACGAGTAGTATGGATATAAAAAATCCTTTCAATCTTTCTCAGTCTACGGTCTATTTGGTAACGTTTGAAGACAAAATAATTAGCATACAAAACAACCACTTATATCTTTTATGATTATGGGGGATATCATTTTAATTGCGTAACCCGAAATTAATAATTAAAATAATACTGTTATTCTGTCCGCGATAACATAGATAGATGTATTAATCGTGGAGGGATTAGTGAGGCAAAAATAACGTTTATCAGATACCGCACGAGAATTTTTCGTATATAAATGGGCGCCCTCTGTCGACAACTCCATTGAGTGCTTACACAAGGTAAGTTCAACAGCGAAAGGGGAGTGTCCACTATGCTTTTAACTTTTAATTGATATCCATTATTATTGGTAATTTATTAGCGTAAGGAAGGAAATCTCAATTCTTTTGTAGTATTCTTATAATTTTGCAAGTCTTCTAGTTGCATCCACCCTTGTCATTATCAGTATTAATAGTTCTTAGTCATGATTACTAAAGGATAATCGTTGTTTTTAGTCAAAATGAAGTTCTTCGTATTTGGACTGGCTCTCCTCGTCGCCGGAGCTTCGGCTTTCCCTGAGCAAGTTAGGGTTGCTGATTTCCAGGGTAAGGTTTCGGAAATAATAAAAATCGCAAACATCGCAATTTTCTAATAATAACTTAAAACCGTTTTATTGGTTTAGAACCGCTATATTTGTTCAAAATTTCATATATGTACATATTTCACTTTTTAGACTGTTAAAAGTTATACTTGATTTTTTTTTTTATTTTCATAAATCACTTTTATTTACACAGTTTGTATAAATTATATACACAAATTATGAATTTATTTAGTTATCTAAAGCTTTCCCTTTTCCTTGGAGTTTAATAGAACTCTATGTAAACTTATTATTAATATATCTATAAACACTTAATCATTGAGGACCTCTTCCGTGGTTCAATGGACCAACGCGTTGCCCAGCGGTCGTAGGTTTAAATCTCTGGTAAACGAGAGACTGTTTCGGTTGGACAAAGAAGAGGAGGAACAGACACAACAGTGCTCTACTCTTCATTTAATTGTTAATCAATATATTTGAAAATGGTTTTTATTTTTTCGAGTAGTAAGCATATAGAATTATCGTATCGGTCATACCAGTCGTTTCATGAAGATGTGATACTCTTTCAGCTTCCGAGCGCAACAGTTTCATTGATAACTTCAGGAGGATTATCGAGGTTATTCGCTCCTTCATCGTCGACAACAAATTCGATCCATGGGTCATCGCCAGGCACGAACGCGAAGTGGTTCAACTACCGTAAGTCTATATCAGCTATACTAATATTACAAAGCCGAAGAGCTTATTTGAATAGGCTAATCTCACAAACTACTGATTCGAATTGAAAAATTATTGTGTGTTAGTTGGGGCATTAATCGAAGAAGCTTGTAAGCTATAAGACATTATGTTGAGCCCTATAGGAGCTAAGAAACAAAAGAAAATGTGGAAAAATAACGGAAAAAGATTCAACTTCAAGCGTTGCGAAGACGGTTCAAGAAATCATAAACTATGTATGAAAGTATGATTCTTCTTGTGCGAATGATCTAATAAAACCTCTGCGACAGCTTTAGCTTTTGAGATTTCCTCGAAACAACGATGGGACACGACGTCGTAAGTTACGGCTAAATTTATAAAGCGGAGAAGGTTGTTTGCAAGAATATTTAATATGATGTCAACAACCACATTTAGCCTAAGAAATCGTTCTTACTATGTTTTATTAATTATCATATAAATAAGGTATTATTAGATGCATCGCTTAAATTCAGTAAACATTTGGACATTTATTTCTCTTCAGAATAAAAGATATTGTTGTAATTTCTTAGACACCTGAACGTCCAATACTTCATTGAAAAGATGGAGCTGACTGGCGTCAGCAACATCCGCATCAACAAGATGGAATACTCCACCCTATTCAGCAGGTTCGATTACGACCTGGAGCTTCCCGAAATCTCGTTGAGCGTTGGTGGGTATTTATCACAATTATGTTTTAATGATAGCGGAAGACGAGAGTTGTCTAAAATGAACGTTTTTTTGATTCAGGTAGCTTTGGTATCACCGGTTTGATTTTTACCAGAAATGTCAACACTGCCCTGTCTGGATCGTAAGTATTTATATGTATACTTTATTTACACTGTTAACGGCTTAAAACTTATTTAACTTAATTATTATTATGTTTAAACCGTTTAAAGTGTTTTATTTAAAGTGTAACACTCGTGTTAACTACAGACAATGTATACTAAATTGAAATTTTTTTTGGCCCAATCGGAGCTAGTATGTATGGTTAGCAATCGTCCTAGGTTCGTCAGCCATCGCCCGGCGAGTAATGGAAATGTTTCTTATAAAAAAAATATATTTTAAATTAAAAATCGAAAAAAAAGTGAAATAATTTACGACTCTTAGGAAATGAACCGGTATCGTCAGCGTTCCGTGCACTTCCAATTGAACTACCAAGTCCTACCTCGAACCTATTAAAACATACACCTCTCGCGCAATATTTTTAATTTTTATGGTGCTATCAAGTGCAATAACATGTCAAAAATATGAAAGTTTCCAAAAGAAACCAGATTTCAATTCATTAACAAACATACTCGTAGATAGTTCTAATGTTAGTTCGTCACGAAATATACTACAGATATTTTCAAGACACGATTAAATTTTCAGACTGAAGGTCTCCGGAATTCGCATCGCAGGTGAAGCTCACGTCACCGTTGACTTGTCTGGAATCACCATCAACACCCTCGAAGCCAGATTCACCCTTGGTGGAACAGAGGTAAGACTCGGGAACTGACAGTTGCTCATGACCATAGACCGAGTAAAAAATGATGATCTACTATGCTCTTTTCAGGCTAATCTCCAAATCGCCGTCCAAGAAAACGACGTGAGCGAACGCGTCAACGTTTTCATCAATGAAAGGATTCCAAACTGGATTAAGAACAACGAGGTAATGAACTTTTGTGCTTAAGTGGTGCAGCTTATTTCGAGGGGCTTCAAAGACCTAAGGAAGGTTTTGTAAATCTTTTTATATAGAGGAGGACAGACAGGCACGGGCTCACTTTACGAAAGGTGAAATACACGGCCGTATATCATCTAAGCAAGATGCGCCTAACCAAGATGTCCATCTAACTTGGCATGGGATATTCGGAAATCCACAGACTTTTTAATCGCGATTAAATGTCAGGGCATATTGTCTTTCGGGCTGTTCGGCCGATGTGAGCGAGAAGAGGTTCTCGAAGTTTCGCCATTACGTGTGGACGGCATCATCAGGAGATGTTGACTCCTCGATAGCTCGAAGAATTAATTCTTAATTCTTCGGCCGAACAGCCCGAAAGACAATGATATGCTGAACGATGGCCGTGAAAGCCTTACACAATTTATTAAATGTCAGGAAAATGACGGAATGAAACTGACGTAAAATTTCTATATTTCTACCACTCATGTAATATCGCAATTTCCAGACAAAGTCCACTTGTTTCAGAAAAATTAGAAATTGGAAAATTAGAAACATATTGGAACCGGTAGGGATCGCATCCACGACCTGGTGACATTGATAGCATTAGACGCTCGTTGGTTTAATTTTACCTATCATTATACCATCAAAATGTGTTCTTAATGTGAAGTAAATTGCGAATTAATTCATAAATATCAAATAATGTTCTTTTAATTACAGCGGGACATCAACAGGGTTCTCGGAAACGTCATCAAAGCTATTGCTCAGCGTATCTTGAGCAGACCACGAACAGTTGATTTGTGGTAATGAAACACACAATAAACATATGAGTTAATATTCAAGCCTTTTATTATGAGCCGTTTGTGTTTCGTTCTGTTGGAATTGTTTTCGTTAGACAGGTCACTGGGTTTTTGACCAATTGAGGCGGATTTTAGTTTAAATTGCCGAGTTCTTCCAATTTGAAGTGAGATACTAACTATATAATTTTTAAACTGTTTCATTTAGCTCGACCCGTACGGAATTTATTTATTTGGGACAAAATTAGAACTTGTAATTTAAGCACCTTCCCGTTGTCGGATTGATCTGAAATTTGGTACACACATTTAATTTAGATGACAATACAATATAATAAAACATAATAAACACAAGATGGCCACCGATACAAAATGGCGGGTTTTATATTTTTACTTAATCCCCTCAATATGGGTATCAAATGAAAGGGCTCTAGTAAAACACGATGATTATGTCTAAATTTAAACATTTTTATAGGTTTCAGTGCGTAAATAAAACCGTTAAACTTATTTTTTTTTAAGTTGATACTTGTTATATTTCATTCCAACGAGATGTTTAATGCAGTGAACTTAACACATCAATGTTTTTCTCTATAGAAAATTTATTTTAGTATTTTGGTCAATTTAGTCCAGTGTTTCTAAGTTTTTACCAGTCGATGTTGTAATGGTAATTGATAAATAAAACTTCCAATTATTTAAAATGACATTCTTACAGCAACAATTTTGTATTTTCAGTCTCATAGAGTATTTATGAATGAGCTTTGAGATTTTCCACTTATTTAATATATAAAAATATGATTAACTGTTTCTTAATTTCTGTGTTAATTATGTTTTAATAGACGTAATTAACTGGCACTATACGTCCCAGATAACTACATCTGGAAGCGCCATCGGAGGCTGATGGCGCTGCTTCGCGTCCCAGCCGCAAGGACTAACTCACTTGCCAAGGCACCGCTAACTCTTGCAATCCTTACAGTTAGTCGCCTGCATCGAGCCCACGATGTTATGCACAGTCCGTTAAGTGAGTTGGTAAGACACGTAGCTAACTTTATTAGCACATAGTGTTGAAGCTGCATTGGGGGCATCCCTGTCAGGGCTTCATACAGTTGTGTTCAATAAATAAATAAATCTTTATTCCAGTGCACAAGTAGATTTCCTGAATCAAAACACCTCAGCTCTTTTTACTGCGCTTCAAATTCGTTTCGGTGGCTTTTTTACTATCGGCAAATAAATGTCTCATTTGATAATTCAAAATACTTTACGCCACTCTTTTCTTTCATCTTAAGTTTGGTCAAACACTAGAGCTGATAAAATCTTTTAGCAGGTCCAGTTCTCTGGTCAATTATTAATTGCAGACCAGTTAAGAAAAAAGTAATATACACAATCTAAGCCAATATGTTGTCTTTTATTAGCGAATAAAAACAAAAAATTGGCTTGGAAGTTTAAATAATATATTTTCAGTAGTTGACCACTCCCTCAACCATTTCGTGTTTGCAATTTTGACTAGCACGAGATATTAATGAAATAACAAAAAAGTTACAACATTTAGATCTATACACATTATTACTTTTGGTGGTGGAGACATAAAAGATTATAAGAGCAGTAAAATTAAACACAAATAAAGCTAATAAGGGAATTCAAATAACATACCCGATATCTTCTTATTGTAAGCACGGAAAAACCTCACCTTTGGCGTCTCTTAGAGAACTCACCGAATAAAAAAGTGACTGTGAATGGAACGGTCTTTGTACGCGGTGCAATACATAGTGCCATTGTAATTTAGAAGAACGACATCTACTGGATAACTTAACACTGAAGAGTAAATTCAAATTTGGTTACGGCGACTATATCGTAGTGGTAGAGACAGTGAAACGTTACTTAAATTTTTCGCAGACTTGTGATCACAATACAAGAGTTATAGTTCGATTCTGAGGCTCTTAATATATTAAGAACAATAATTACTTACAAACATTACTTCATATACAATTTGGCTATTAGTTAAGCTATACGAGTAATCTAAGTTAAATAAAGAAAGCTTCAATTTCAAATGATTTGAAAAGACAAAGAAATTATAGCGAGAATGTTATAGTGGTATGAAAACAAGCAATTCGAATCCACATTAAGGATTATGAACCTTTTAGTTTTGATACAAATAAAAAATAAAATATACGTTACTCTCTTTAAAATTAAAAAAAATATTTAGATTCCTCAAAAATTGTTTTTGTTTGTCCGTCCGTTAGTCGTGAATCTACACAGTGTTCAAAAGAGCAAAATAACTGAGAAGAACACCCAACAAACTCAGTCTAGTTTTTTTAAATATGTCTGATAAAATAATACATTGTTGTAAATTTATTAACCTAAGGAGCAATTGATATTACTGCCAGGCGGTATTCATCGATAAATTTGACACCTCCACTGGCAATGTATTATACATACGAACACCATTCACCGCAAATGAAGTAGATATTTTATGGAGCCTATATATTTGGGGAAAGCTAGGTTATCTTTATTTGTAAGTTCAAATTATGCCTATCACTATTCTTATTGCCTATAAGGGCATACAATACATTTTCATAAATATACTGCGAGTACACAGTAAGTATGCCGATATTTTTAAAGGTATCTCTGATAATGATAATGACTCCCGAGATCCCTTACTATAGATAGCCCGAACCGCCCTTTTTTGTCACACAAAGATACATTCAATGTCGGCAGCGTTGCCCTACAGTAGTATGCCCGATGTCATAACACTGTGGAAGTAGCTGAAGTAGACTAGACGCCCTGGTTTAATGTCTGTTAATTGTTTGATCTTTTTTACGGCGAAGTCTGCAGAACTGAGCTTGCTCGAGGCTTTCCTGATATGAGATCCCCATTGTAGTTTGGAGTGTAACGTTATATCCAGAAAGACAGTTTCATTAACCATTTCTATCTCGACGTCCCTTACCTTAACACTTGGCTTTAGCTAACTTGACATTAGAAAAAGTGAATAATACATTTAGTTTTGTTGTCATTTAAGAATAGGTTATTAACACTAAGCCAATGGACTACTCTCGAGAGGGCATTGTTTACATTGTCAAGCTCGCGTTGTCCACATTTAATTTTTAATATTAAAGACGTATCATCAGCAAACAAAACTATCACGGGATTGTCTCATATGAGGTGAGGGAGATCATTTATCCTGCCCCATTGAGGCACCCCCATCGTTATGGCAGAACCGGGTGACTGTTTCCCATGTATAACAGCTTTTTGGACTCTATTACTAAGGTTATTATCAAGTTTTCTAATTAACGTCTGATGCTGACACAATCAAATGCTTTAGATAAGTCACAAAATATACCATAGGCATCATATGACTCATCCTAGGCTTCGTTATTACTCTCTAATAACTTAATTCCAGCATCCGTCGTAGACCGACCGAGAGTAAAACCGAATTGTTTTGAATGCAAAAGTTTATTTATGTTAAAGTGAGCTAGCATTTGATTGAGCATTATTTTTTCAAAAATCTTACTAAATCTGGGCAGTACAGAAATTGGATGAAAGTTCGAAGGATCTGAGGTACTACCCGATTTGAACAGAGGGGTTAGTTTACTAAATTTCATTAAATCGAGGAACACACTACAATCGACACAATTGTTAAATATAATGACTGATTCGGGGGCAACTATCTCGATTAAAGAATTAACTAAATGTACCGAAATACCCCAGAGGCCAGCTGTTTTCTAAATATTCAATGATTTACTATTTACGATTTATTACAACAGACAAATTCTTGGCTGTTGTAGTAAAAAAGTAGAATAGGAAACTTGCTATTTGTTTTCTACAATAACTTAGTAGCTAATAACTACCAGGATACTATTTTGTATAAATACTGTATAAACTGACCGGACGTTTATCTATATAGATATTGTATGTAATTCTGTGACTTATAATAGAATTAAAATCTATCACATTCAGTTTTTTGTTGTATTTGCTCATTACATACATATGAGAGTTTATCTTATATCTAAGGGAGTTTTCCCCGTCTGGCACACTTTTTAAGTAGGGGAGTGTAAACATTACCAAGTATTTAACATCTAAATTGTTTATCTTTTCAAAGTAATAGTGTGTTGTCATCAAGAGAATTTAAAATGATATTACGAAATTGGATTGCTATTAAGGTGTTCAATATTAATTTTGCGGAATGCAAGAAATAGAAAACCGAGATGTCTGCAATAAGAACTCAGTAATTATGCATGAATGTTTATTTATTGTATCGTTCTCATATGAAAATCAGTATAGTGAGTGATCACACAGTGCAGTGAGTGCTGAAGCGCGCTTTGATGAAAACACCCTACAAGTCGGAAACTGTGTAGTCGCCCAAAAGGAAGTCGCCGTAGATCCTCAAGACTCCATTGATGAATCGGTTGATGGCGTCCTGTGGAACGATCGAGACTTCAAATAAAACTACGTTAACGCTCCAAAACGTTTTGCAATGCTAGAGTGCAAAACCAGAAACGTATTTGTTAGCTTTTTATCTTGTTTTTCTCATATAGAGAGCTTACCTTGTTTTTCTCAAGCAGCTGAGGAACTCGTACGTTCAAGTTGTTGTTAGCGGCGGCTGACACATCGCTTCCCAAGACATTAAGGTTCACGTCGGCCTGAAACAGCAATCATTGATTGGGAGCAGATCCTAACAGTTGAGATGTGGAAAGGAAAGAATTGTACTGCGATCCTAATACAATCGGTATTAGGACAGAATCGATAACTTTTACTTACGTTGATGCCTCCAACTCTGAAACTGCTAGAGGGGGAGGTGACCAATCTTCCTCCTTCCACCATGAAGCTGATTCCAATTCTACCTGAAAGACGAACTCCCGAGACTGCGACACTGGAAGTATACAAATTAAACATAAATGAAGGATAATATAAATCTGTTTAATAACAAATTTTACGCAAAATGAGTACGCACCGACCGCTGAACCTGGTTTCACCAAGTTTACCGAAGAGGTCGGAGGAGACCACGACATCACCTGAAATTCAATCGTTCGCTTAGATGTATATCTTTTCCAGTCGTATCCAATGGTGGTAATTTTAATAAATTCCTAATGATTCTTACTGGCTTCCAAAACTAGTTGTGGGAGCTCCAGATCGAAAGAGATGGAGAAAGGCCTGATGTAATTCAATCTGTGGACCACGATGTCGCTGGCGCCAGAGAAAACGAGCTGGTCAATGAAGAGGCGGACATTTCTGAAACTGAAATTACAAATATTATTTTAACGTTAATATTTAAATGTCACCTGTTCTCCAACAATGGAGATCGTGGACACTTTTAATAAACTGGTATCGTAGTCAAAAAGTTGAACACGCCACTCACAGCGGGAGGTAGTAGTTCCTTTCGTAAGACTCCAACACGAGTGGGTCCAATCCGTCGTTTACGATGGCCCGGCGCAGCCTCTCGACAGCTCTGGCCAACTTGTCGTTGGTTATGAGAGACGACCCTGAAATCGTTCCATTTATTAATACGATAAGGCAACACGGCGCCAGTATTATTGAGGAAAGAGCTATATTGACTCACCGGCGACTTCTTGCCCTCGAGGGAGAGCCGAAGCTCCAGCGATGAATAGGGCGCAAGCGAAGAGGAAGAATTTCATTTTGCTTCACTGTCTGTAAGCACAAATAGCTGTTTTTATTTCTTAATCCATAAAGAGGACCTACAATTTGCTGTTTTTCCATGCACCTACCTTTAGAAACTGGTGCCGAGGAAAAAGTATTGATGTCTTTTATACAATGTTAGACATCGATACCATCTAATCTAATTCGATTATTGTTTTACTGAATTATCTTACGCGATCAATTAATATTTCAGTGTTTCAAGCAATCGCAGGTGGATCTTGTAACAATATATGCACACGCAAGCTGTACGTGGGGTACATTATTTAGAAACTATAAAATAGTAATTAAAAAAACGATTTAAACCTTGAAATGTATTGACTAAATTTATTTACTTTATAATATATTTTGAAATACTGCCCGACGTTTCAAATGCTTTTGTACTACATAAGTTATAATGCATTTTTAGGCCGTTAAAACTGTTTAAATTAAATGTGTATTTCTCTCGGACACTACAGACAGTAGGTACATGAATAATGAACATAATGTAATTTTGAAGACTAAAGACTGTCTGTCTTACTGTCATGGTATTGAATAACGCCACTGTGAACTACGATTATGATTATTATTTTTTTATTCACAGAGGCGAACAGACAAGCATGAAGCTCACTTGACAGAAGATGAAATACCGTATAACGTCTAAACAAGATATATTTTTGTAGCGTCCTTTCGGATGGACAAAAATATAATACTTCTTTCTCCGGTTTATGATCTAGCTATTTGTTTTAACTGCATTCTCTTTATTGTTTGATTGTAAATTAAGAAAAAAAATAATACAAAAATAACACATCTGAATTTCTCAATTGAAAATTGTATAATAATAAATAACACTGACACGGGGGTACTTAAACTGCCGTCCACAGCATTTCGTGCTGCTGCTGACCAATTGAGCACTTGCATAGTCAAATTTTGTGAAGCCGTTGACACATGCACTTCTTGCCCTATGTTATATTATTTTTATCGAAATGGTTTGTTATTTGTATAATGCCGTGCATGCATGCATTTGAAGAATAATTGGGTAATCAACCTTAACTTATTCCATTTAATGCGTTAGGCGTCCCCTTCGGAGAAAGCTCGAACTTAAGAACTAACCTCGAAAAATATTCTACGCCCTTGATTTTCAAACTGATAGTCAAATTTACCGGTGATAAGCACAAACATTGATGATTATTGAATGTCTTAAATTAAGATTTAAAAAAAATGTTCTGTATCTGTATCACTGTATCGTCTGTGTATGTGGAGCACCTATTGAAATAACACAAGACAATAGGGACTCAAAAGCAACGAGTTCCAACGAATGGAAGCCTCCATAGAATCCTTCAGTCGGGGTGAGCTCATTTCGATAATGCAATCAGGGAAAAATACACGATATCTTGATCTTGGAACATCATTATACTTCGAACTTCTTTCATGTTAATTACTGATATCGGATGTCTACAAAAGATCTGTATTAGTCGAATATACTATGTCTACTTATTAAATTAATTTATCTATGTATTTACTACATAACTGATTTGCTGAGTTAACTTAAAGCATTATCTTTTACACTTCGAGAAATAACTAGGAGATAACAGGAATTGATACCTGGATAAAACTACAAGCTAATATAAATGGCGAAACGTCGAGAAACTCTTCTCGCTCACGTCAACTATATTTATACTATTATACTATATATTTTTTTATTAAAAAAGCATTTATTTCACTTTACCCTACGTCACCGGGAGTGTTAAATCGTTTTGAAACTCTTTTACAACTAAAGTAAAATTATTCTAAATATTATGACCATCTCTTTAGCTCAATGGTTGAACACAACAAACTTTTCTACTTTATATTGCGACATTTATCAATATACACAAGCACACAGTTTAAATACATTTTACTTTTTTCTTTTGTCCCCATTGTCCATGTAAGTACGAAGGGGGAATTCCCTTTCCTTGGTGGGAAGGGCCCTGGATTCCTTAATTTTACTGCTAACAATTACTCCTTCTTACTCTTGAATCACACTTTTTTATTCCATTTTAGGTTTATATGAAAATTTATGCGCCTTTTACTATCCTGATGGCATCCGATTTTAACGATCTTTGCATATTTCGTGTAGTACTTTCGGTAAATAACAAACAGACAACAATTTTTTAGCTTTTATTTTGTGTTTATCTTTGTCGCCCACCTTAGGTTTTTCATAATTTAATATTATTTGGCTATCTATTTCTATTGATTGTTACAATACTCGTATAGATATATAATGATAAAGAGTCACTCTTGTTTGATTGCTTGAAACGTCTCTAATAATTAATTACTGATCGCAATCTGATATCATAACTGGATTAGATGGTATCGATGTCTAACATTGTATAAAAGACATCAATACTTTTTCCTCGGCACCAGTTTCTAAAGGTAGGTGCATGGAAAAACAGCAAATTGTAGGTCCTCTTTATGGATTAAGAAATAAAAACAGCTATTTGTGCTTACAGACAGTGAAGCAAAATGAAATTCTTCCTCTTCGCTTGCGCCCTATTCATCGCTGGAGCTTCGGCTCTCCCTCGAGGGCAAGAAGTCGCCGGTGAGTCAATATAGCTCTTTCCTCAATAATACTGGCGTAGCAACCGCCGTGTTAATAAATGAACGATTTCAGGGTCGTCTCTCATAACCAACGACAAGTTGGCCAGAGCTGTCGAAAGGCTGCGCCGGGCCATCGTAAACGACGGATTGGACCCACTCGTCTTGGAGTCTTACGAAAGGAACTACTACCTCCCCCTGTGAGTGGCGTGTTCAACTTTTATACTGCGATACCAATTTATTAAAAGTGTCCAAGATCTCCGTTATTGGAGGACGCAACATTAGGTCCTAAACTCCAGATCTTAACAAAGACGTGCTTAAAGAGCAATCTAGATGTTCTATGATTGCAACGTTAAAATAATATTTGTAATTTCAGTTTCAGAAATGTCCGCCTCTTCATTGACCAGCTCGTCTTCTCTGGCGCCAGCGACATCGTGGTCCACAGATTGAATTACATCAGGCCTTTCTCCATCTCTTTCGATCTGGAGCTCCCACAACTAGTCTTGGAAGCCAGTAAGAATCATTAGGAATTTATTAAAATTACCACCATTGGATAGGATTGGAAAAGATATATATATAAGCGAACGATTGAATTTCAGGTGATGTCGTGGTCTCCTCCGATCTCTTCGGTAAACTTGGTGAAACCAGGTTCAGCGGTCGGTGCGTACTCATTTTGCGTAAAATTTGTTATTAAACAGATTTATATTATCCTTCATTTATGTTTAATTTGTATACTTGCAGTGTCGCAGTCTCGGGAGTTCGTCTTTCAGGTAGAATTGGAATCAGCTTCATGGTGGAAGGAGGAAGATTGGTCACCTCCCCCTCTAGCAGTTTCAGAGTTGGAGGCATCAACGTAAGTAAAAGTTATCGATTCTGTCCTAATACCGATTGTATTAGGATCGCAGTACAATTCTTTCCTTTCCACATCTCAACTGTTAGGATCTGCTCCCAATCAATGATTGCTGTTTCAGGCCGACGTGAACCTTAATGTCTTGGGAAGCGATGTGTCAGCCGCCGCTAACAACAACTTGAACGTACGAGTTCCTCAGCTACTTGAGAAGAACAAGGTAAGCTCTCTATATGAGAAAAACAAGATAAAAAGCTAACAAATACGTTTCTGGTTTTGCACTCTAGCATTGCAAAACGTTTTGGAGCGTTAACGTAGTTTTATTTGAAGTCTCGATCGTTCCACAGGACGCCATCAACCGATTCATCAATGGAGTCTTGAGGATCTACGGCGACTTCCTTTTGGGCGACTACACAGTTTCCGACTTGTAGGGTGTTTTCATCAAAGCGCGCTTCAGCACTCACTGCACTGTGTGGTCAGTACTATATAGATTTTGATACGAGAACGATACAATAAATAAACATTCATGCATAATTACTGAGTTCTTATTGGATTCTCTTTTTCCTGCATATTTATTTAGCACTCACAACTTTAGAATGTTACAATGAACTTACAAGCTACTTTCATTTTATATGTATCACGCATATGGCAAGGATGTGCAAATCGCACTCTCTAGGGAATATCTACAGCTCTATAAACTATACCATAGTAAAATAATCTAAACTATTATTGATGTTTCGAATCTCTATCTAATTGACTTTTGACTAAAACTAAAAAAAGATTAAACCTTTGAATACTCATCAAGGCATCTAGTCACCTTGTTCGTGCCACATATACCCAACTATAGAATATATAAGTTGTACCTTGAAAGGAAATGTTAGAAAGCACTGAAAATGCGGAACTAAAACAATTACAGATTACAAAATTAAATAAAAATTTTCGCCTTGTATGAACAAGTCACCTTTACCCTGTTTATAAGTCGTACTTTGAAAGCAAATCTTAAAAAACTATAACGAATATCACAGAATAAGCTGACGATCTCCTTATAGTTGACAGATCTTGATCTATCACTATCTTGGTAATGGCGAAAGGTACTAGATATATTATTGCCTACGTCATACTGGAACGAGTAAGAAATATTATTATACTTTTAAAACTAAAACAGTGACGTAACATCTAACAGTTTTATAGTTGAAATAAACTACACTTTTGTGTAAATAAAATCTTAAACTCAATATCATATTTTGCCCTCAAAACTTTCTTTGTCCACATAGGTTTTACATTTTAGGTAAATATTTTCGTAAAATTATATACAAGCCATTTAAGTAATAAACATTTAAATAAAACACTTTAACGGTTTAAAACGCGATATATTAGTTAAGAGCGTTTATACCCTCCACGCGCAATTAGGCTTAAAACTGGGTTTTTCAAACCTGTTAATATCACTAACTACTTATCGTACAAACATGTTGATTACTTATATGTTTAGGAAATTTCACTGTCTAAAAACTTAGTAAAAAATCAAGATTTACGCTGTATTCATACCTTAAATTGGGATATATTAAATCAGGTTTTCTTAAATCGCGTTTTAGTATCATTTTCGAGGCTTAAAATATATATCAAAATTCTTAAAAATTTAATTATAAAAAAATTTTAACCTATCGATAATATCCTTAACCAAATACTTAGAAGAAAACATTTTTGAATTTCGGTATAGAACAATACAAATAAATAAATTCTAGCAATGTGAAATATGAAGGAATTACAACGTTTTATTTGCCTATTTATCTCGTGTAATTTAATATTAAAATAGTTCTATGCGATAGAAGAACTCTTTCTTTAATATTAGCTTAAAAATGTTCCCGCACTTATTTCTTTGTAAAATTTTTGTAATGTGATCAATATAATATGTATTTTAAGATTCACTTTTAGATTTGTTCGAAGAATTTTTGTTATTTTTGTTAAATAAGTAAACTTTAGAAATATGTATTTTACGCAGTTTACTTCCTCAAAAACCCAAGTAGCGTCCACCTCTGGACCAATTCGCGTCCACCATTAGGACACATTTTAAAATAATATATATTATAAATTAACGTTATAATACGGCAAACGTAAGTTGGCAAGTCTGAACTTAGCGCGAAATGCTGCGCAGAAATGTTCCATATGATGTTAACGGTGGTAAGAGCGACGTGCGACGGACGGAGATCTAGGCTAGAGAATGACTCAATGTCAACACAGTCGACCGTTTATTCTATTAAATTTCGTAATCACTCCAAGGATCGCGTCCAGACACTCGCAAGGATCGCGTCTGGACATCTCTATTTAGTTGTTTCGCAAAACTTCGTACATATTCGGTAATGCTCGGTAAACGGAAGGGTTTCTCGGTCACTCCTTGGCGTTTATTTTGTTATCTCTGTCTTGAGCGCAGTCGGTTAGAAAAGTGATTGTTTATAGTTAAATTTAATACTATTACATATTTCTCTTTTGTTATATTTTTGTTTTGTCTCAGTATTTTAGTGAAAGATAAGTGTTCGTAGCCCTTATTCTCTCTGAATCAATTATTATTGGTATGTTATTTTTGCTTACTATATGTAAAATCTTCAATTTATCCCAGTAACGAAAATAAATGGCAGTATTCGTTTTCTTTACGAGTGTGCATGCGCCAAAGTTCGTTTAAACTATGTTCAGACTTGCCAAGTTACGGCGGCCTTATTATATTATCATAAAATATCACTTTAAATATATATGTAAATAAAATTTATTTATTTTCGTCGAAAAATTTTCAAGTCATTTTTGACCTAGGCGATCATATTCCAAATTATTTTCAAACTATTCTCGGTTTTTTTTCTGAACTATTGTCTAGTTATTAAGAAGCCACACAACTACCTATTTTTCACCATTTACTTCTAGTGCTCATTCTGGTGCAGGTTTGTTGACTATGTTTATTTGCAGTCTGGACAGGTAAAGACTTTTCCGTGAAAGTTGAAAAAATAGATTATTATAATGAATGTCTGCAACCAGAAATGATCCCACGAAATCCAGATAGATGCCGCTGAGAATTACTTTTTACTATTTAAATAAAACACTTTAACGGTTTTTAAATCCGAATAAAATGTTTTATCGAGCAGTAACTAAATATGAACTGATGATATTGTTGTATTTACTGACAACTACGCCCTTAAATCTTGGACAATTAATTTCATTTGTATCAAATAAGAAACAATGCTATACGATATATATTGTTTTTAAAAGAAGCTCATTTATATATATATATATATATATATATATATATATATATATATATATATGTTAATGGGTACTAATACCAAACCCTCGGTGACCGCATAATTATTATAATATTGCAAGGATCATGACGAGTTCTAGCGCTACAAATCGCCCCAACTCACGCAGACAGTCTTTTGCGTCTGTGACGAATTTTCGAAATACGTAAACTTGACATCGCGCGAAAGGTGTAAACGCTCTTAAACTTATTTGAAAATGATTTTTAACTTCGGCTCGACGTTTTGGATGCTTTGCAGCAGCCGTGGTCACGGGGAGACTAAGTAATAAACAGTAGAAAAAAAAACCGTTAAATAACATATGTAACATTATTTCTACTTATTTTGTATAATTAAATATTATTTTTTATAACAGTACGATTTGTTTCCGTGTTGAGATACAGACTTAATTTTTAAGACTTATTGTTTATGATAGTTTGTGTTTTGTTTGTGTACCTTTTGAAAAATTAATATAAATGAATAAATTTGAGAATTTATTACATATTTTATTAATATATTGCATATTTTATTACGGAATGTATTTCTGTAAAGAAATACATTCCGTAATAAAATATGCAATGTAAGCTTATTGCTCAGATGCTTACAACAGGCGTTTTATAATATAAATAGAATTATGAAATTATGACTTTTAGGGGGTAGAAAGATAGAGTAAATATACAAATATTTACTTTAAGATTATATAAAATATATAATCAAAATAGGATATTGGATAACCTACCAAGTGTGATCACAAGGAGTCACCAACAAATTGCATATAATATTTGTTTTAAATATTGAGACATATGTGACGGAACTAGTGATAACATACTAAAAGGAAATAATGAAATGAATGAATGCATCTTCCGTGTCTCGCATACGGAAGCGAAACTTGGTCTCTCATTCAAATTCACACTGGAATAATTGGCCAAGTGCCATAGGGCAATGGAGAAAAGCATGTTGGACATAAAACTTAGCGACAAAATGACCTCGGCGAAAGTAAGGATCAAAACAAAGCTTACTGACATACTTACCCGAATAGACCAAATAAAATGGCGCTGGACAGGTCACACGCTACGCTTTAAAACAAAGAAATGGAGCAAACAGGCGGTATCCTAATCTTTTGGTATCCTAGAGACGGCAGCTGGCAAAGGGGACGCCCGACAATCTATTCCTATTGGACCAGGGTAGCAACAGATCGTGTGTAATGGAAGTAGTTGGAGGACGCTTATTAGAGATATTTTACAATTTTTTTAAAAATGTAAACATTCCGTAAATAGAGGGTTTTTTAGGCTAATTATAACATTTTATGTTATTATCTATCTGTACTAATATACATATAAAGCTGAAGAGTTTGTTTGTTAGTTTGAAAGCGCTCCCAGACACTACCTGTTTGAAATAAACAAATATTTTTGTGTTGGTTAGATCATTTATTGCGGAAAGTTATAGGCTACAAAACATCGTGCTGTGACTAATAGGAGCAAAGAAAAAGGAGGGAATGTGTAAAAACGCTACAAAAACGGTTCAGAATACCCAAAAAATATGTGTGAAAGAATCATTCCTCTGTAAATAATCTAAAATAGGGGCTGTAATACTATATGTTTATATTTTAAGATTAACTTATAAAGCCATCGTAATCGGAAATAGTTTTCGACGTTTTCCCGTCACATATATCATCCATTCGTCAGTCATCTTCCCTGCAAAGACTGTCAATTTCGTTACTTCGATTAATTTTTCAGTCAAGTGTACTATTTATAAAACTACTACTTAAAAAACTTAAATTTACTCAGACTATCAACTTCATTTGTTGGCGGAAAAGGAACTACCTGCATTTTATTATACATTATTTGTTTATTTCTTAGGTATTCTAATCATCTTTTAATCTACTTGGCCTATTTTAAAATGACTTCTTTCTGATAAAGTTGTCCTCCAGGTTAGTGACCCTGTCGTGTATTGATAAAATTGTAATCTTCATCATTAATGGTTTCATATTGTGTAATCTAAAAACTTTTAAGAAAAAACATTATTTTTTAGGTTTTATTGATATACAAGCATTAATTTCTATTAAAACTATTGAAAATAAATTAATTTAATGCAGTATATTTTCTACTATAAATATTGTGATATAACACGTAGAGCAAATCATTACGAGTCTCATAAAAGATCATGGATCTTAGGTAGGTAGGAAAGCGACCACAGAACGAATAGACAATCTATTCCATGATTTAAAATTATAATGACGATGGTTGATAGAGGATAACAGACTATATATAATATCTCAACAAGATGCGCTGTCGGCCTATCCATCCACAGACTGAAACTTACATACGTTTAAACTTCACGCGTTATTCGTGATCCGGACAGTGTTTTGGTACCACCCAATCAATATGTAGATTTTCTAATGAAGTTCAACGTTCAACGTGTTGCACAAAAATTATAAATTCCTTACACTAAGAAATGAACCCACGATCCGTTGATTATTAGACACGAATTAAAAAAAAAGTTATAAATTTAAAAAAAAAACGACACAGGCAGGACTTAAACACATGCACAGCCTTCCATGCTGTCGTTGCTCAAACAAAAATTGAGCTACCGTGTCCTACACGTCATCGTCGATTGTTTTTCAACCTTAATACTTGCAATTTAAGGTTCAACGTGTTATGCTTTTCAGCTTCATTCAAACATGGAAGATGAAATTACGACGTTTAACAACACATTTTTTTTTCACATGTTATTGCTAGCGATGGCACAATATAATTCAATGACAAGTGAAAAATATTAGTTTTTCGTTTCATCTACGAACCTGTCAAGCTTGCATATGCAGACATGCATCATTGCAGACATCGGGGATAGATAAGAGTATAATGGCTTCGATAAAGGAAATTATCTCAATATTTCAATAGCTAATTAGTAAAATCAGATACCGGGTAAAGAATAAAAATGGATCGATAAAAGTTTAATTCATCATTTCCTCCTTTTATTCGGTAAGTGATCGTTGTTTTTTATTTGTACGTAATGTTAAAAGTTCACTCGATGATAGGTGAAATATAACCATATAAAAACAACAGGCCATTTAACATATAAACGAGGTGCAATGTCGGCTTATTTTGGATTTGGATATTCGGAAAAGACAAACGGAAACCAAAACGTGATGAAACTTCGCAGCTTTTTCTTTTGTAGACAATGACAATATATTAAAACAACTGTAGCGGTCGAACACAAATCACTTGTCAGTTCTATAATTTCAGTGCTCATGACCCGCAATTGGGAACAGTTTAATAATATTAATTCTTATCTAATTTCAGAAAATTAAAGTAAAAGAAATCATGAAGTACTTAGTGTTCTTTTGCGCAGTTCTCGCAGTAGGAACATCTGCTCTGCCGCAAAAGACTGAGAATGAGGTCGGTAAGTAAATAATCGTAATATACAGGTTCGATATAGTCTGATACCATATTGGTGATGGCCTTGTTTATGATACTGGGGTCTAGAGTTCAAACCCGGTCGTGGCGTTCGTTTTCTACATACTCTCTTATGAGAGGTTTAAGGTGGCGACGCTAAGCGCACTTCCAAGATGTTCCCTAATTTCACCTTGTTTCTTTAATGGGGATTGCCGCTAGGAGCTTTGGAAGGTAGGGTGACAACAGCTCGAACGCAGAGGGCTCGATGAGGGCGAGCATTCACGTCAATACTAAAAAAGACGTATGAAAGACTTTTAACATTAAGAAACAATTAATTTACGAGTATAATTACTGTTACGAGCAAAATATCAGAAATATTTTAGTTTTACATTTTTGTTATTTTAGCGCCCAAACAACAAAGGCTGATCACCAACACCATTCGAAACCTGATCCGACAAATTAGCAGAGCTATTAAAGAAAATGGACTGGACCCTGTGGTCATTGACGATTTTGAATACGAGTACAATATCCCATTGTAAGTAAATAATAAATGCCTTATTGGTATTGGTAATTGGTAACACAACAGAATCTTTGGGAGTTTAGCGGAAATGTTAGATGAACGATCTATATAAGGTTTTCGCCAAAGCTTCCTTGGTTTTCTTGCTGTTCGTTTGACGCAGAGTTGAAATGGTTCTGGACGAGCGGATCACAGAATTATCTGCCAGACTCATCAGTAACATCATTTCTTTCTTATTTTTCATAACTCACTTCCATGTGAACAATGTTTAATTACCAGAAACTTCTTGTTTGACCAGCCTAGTCGACGTCAGACTCTTCATAGAGAAGTTGAGGTTCATCGGGGCCAGTGATATCGTCATTAAGCAACTGGATTACTCGGCAATCTTCAACAGACTCCGTTTCGACATTGAGCTCCCACATTTGTTACTTGTTGTAGGTGAGTTCAAAGTACTCTATTTATTACCTCTGTCTTTGCTTTTTCTATTTTTTTCAAATTCCGAACATCCGAAGCCAAAATAGGACGACAGCCCATCTTGTCAATATAATATTTGGCGGAGATATTTGACTTTCCATCAAGTGAACTCTATGCTTAGTTCTCCTCCTCCATCAAAAAAAGATATTACTAAACGTGGCTTCTTTTTGCCTATATAAAATGAAATATCTAAAGTTTAAACAATAGCAGTTGAAAATGCTCTGCACACTCGGTATGGCTTAAATTGAGATACAAAGCAAGTATACATCATGATCATCATGATGCATCATGATCCCAGGTTCGAATCCGGGAAAACAAAGAGAAAAACGCCGTAAAAGTGGAATGGGGCTTGCACATAAAACGCTATTTGTATTGTGCATGTAATCCATATAACGTTCTAAAATGGTATTGTCATATCTTTCTTAAACATTTTTAATTTCAGTCGACTCGGGAGTTACGGCTAATATTTTTGGAGAAAAATACAGTGGCCAATTTTTAGGCAGGTAAGATTTAAAAACATGTCCAATATACACATTAAATAGACAGATAAAATTCATTGTATCCACGCACAGGTCGTGCGGGCGCCAATTTCAAGATCGAATTGAAATACAAAAAATAACATAGCTGATAGTATCTTAATAAATACCAAACGATACTAATCAACTTCATATCTTTCGACTGATTTAGACTTTGGATACTGATAAAAATAAATTATGCATTTTAGAATGGATTTTTTTGTTATAATCTAATGATATATTTAGAGTAAAAACAAATGACGCAGTGGGTGCCTTAAAGACTCCGCCCACCATCGTCCACTGCTGGGACTCCCAGTAATTGTTTTTTTTTTAATATTTCAGTGTTGCTGTAAATGGTATTGGTCTGTCTGGGGAAGTCCGAGTGAACATCGGCATTATCTCGGGAATATCCATTCGCAGTTTAGATGTGAAATTCCGCCTTGACAGGATTAAAGTAAGTTGTAATACAATATTTCTAATGTTCCAATGAAATACTTTTAAGGGTTTAAAACGATAAATGTATTTGTTAACTTACTTAAAATCATATTTTGCCAGGCAGTATAAAAAACGTCTAGTCAATTAATACCTTAAAAAGATATTAAAATTGCATATTTTAAAATGAGTAACACGATAAGTATTTTTTTTTCTTTATATATCTTGTTTAACATTCAAATTTACGTGTTATTTTCTCGTACAAGAATATGTATATTCTTAGATTATTAAAACTAAAACCAGGATCTCCAATTTTGTAGCCTTTTAATATTCTGTAGCCCGTGTGCCTAAGAGTGTGGAGACGCCTACGCCTTTAAAAAGAATATTGCATGTGGTAGACATATATGGTAGCGGAAACTGCAGACTATACTTAAAATAATATTATTAAATCATACTAACGCATTTTCTGGCAGCTGACCAAGTATGAATAAATAAAATAACGACGCTGTTTTGTTTTTCAGTCCAACACTGTAATCGTGGTCCTAGGAGAGGATTGGTCATTGAACGTCAATAATCTTTTGAACAACGATATTCCCAACTTGTTGAAAACACACGAGGTATATATACACGATATTATTTTTTAATTTCTTGATTAATCACTGAACATTTTATTGAACAACATCAAGCTCTGTCTTGCTGAACACTGTGCAGCTGAGGCTTTGCAAAGGCCATACAAGTTATTAATAATGAGTTTATTGTGATTCGACCGTTATAATCGGATATTATACAGACAGTTTTTCCTTCACAGAATGACATCAATAAATTTCTATCAGAACTTCTGAAATCGATTGCCGATTCCGTATTGAAGCCAAACGGACTTTATGAAAATATGATCTCTGAAGTCTAAAACAAAGTAAAATGTGTATTTTTAACAAAGGCTAGCATATATTACTCAAATAAAGCTTATTTGTGATATTTTATAATAAAATTGTTTGCAAAACAGTTTTTTTTATTACTATCTACAATACGAAGTGTTTCTCCAAATATATTAAATTTGTTAAATATTATTGTATACTTGTATATTTACCAGAAAAACATTGCTAAACTAGATTATATTCCGCAATTACTTATCCTGAATGCGCAAAAACTTTAATATTTTTACAATTCGAAACAATTTAAAACTCATATGAGTACAAGTATTGTTAAAGAATGATACTTTTCTGAGCACCTACAAGATGTCCTTTAAATTACATGTTTTTATTGGAACGAAAATATTAAGGCAGAGTAACTGAGATACACAGCTTACAGCCTCACTACTAAGTACTTAATGTGTATATTACAATAAAATACAATTACTTCTACTTAACTCTCGTTGTTTGTGCATGGGCATGGGCTACTAAATAAGCGGTAAGAGTTTGACTCGATGAAAACGTAAAATAACTTAGCCCTATAACGTCTTAAATACTAAAAATTTATAGATTGTAATCGAAACGCAATCAACATTTCATTTCATTTATAACCTGGACACTATTTAAAATGGGTGGTAAACACCAATTTAAAATCCAGATGTCCAGACGAAGACCAATATGTTTTAGTTAAATTATAAATCGATACTACCACCAGTAAATTATTAGGACTATATGGACTTGAAGCATACAATACTTAATTGAATATAGACATAAGTCCACTTAAAGGATTATGGACGATCTTTTGTTCATCACGCTCTTATCGAAATTTTAACACGCATTGAATTGTTTGTTAAATAAAACCACTTATCTTTAGATAAATTAATCCGCGATATCGTATGATAGCACAATTATAATTGACTTATAACTTCAATGGTTATTGCTTTATTGGTTTCGCGAGTTATTCAACAGTGATTTGTTTAATTCCAAAAATAGCAGGTAAGGGTTTTTTAGTAGTTTTTATGGATTACAAACAATACATGATCTAAGTGTCGTTAATATCCTTAGCTTTTTATGTTTTATCATTATTTCCAATGTTTATATGACGTTACAAGGGCACAGCTGCAAGGCTGTCTCTGTTTAATGTTTTTTGTAAGGATAATTTGTTTTTTTAGTCACAATGAGGGCGATAGCTGTCGTCATAATGATCTTTACGAGTGCAACGCTCGCAACAGATCCACAAATTGATAGGACCATGCTAAAGGAAGCTTTCAATAAAGACAGTAAGTTTTTAAAATTAATTACAAAGCGTTAATCTTAAGAGTTCATACATATATATATGTACGTCCGAAACGTTGGGCCGTTAGTCCAAATTAGTTAGTAAATAAGTTTAATCAATATATTTCAAATTTAAAAGCGGTAAAGTGTTTTAATTCAATTGGTAGGTTTAAGATACCTCGAAGGACCAAAAGATTGCACTGAGGTGATAATACGAACGGATTCAGTATTGTTCTTATGTCCCATACCCCATACAGTCTTCAATTTTTCTCAAACTTTTTCAGATAACGTTGAACTACGGAACCGTTTACTCGAAGGAGTTTTAAATGATCTAATCGAACAAATACGCACATTAATGAGGAATGGTTCGGAAAACTTCCCAGTGCTGGACCCTTTGCAGATCGGAGCTGTAGAGATAGATGAACTCTTGATTGGATCTCCAGGGTAAACGTACTTTGACTGTGATAAGAATCTTCGTGGCTCTCATTCGTATATAACTAGCTGACCTGGCAAACGTTCTCTTATGAATATTACAATTAAATGTTATTACCATAAAAACAGTTCTTGTTAGTTATTATAAGTTAGAGATAAATTATTGTTGACATATTTTATATTGTTTAAAGAATAAGTTTTCTTTTATATTTAAAAAAAAATCGGTTACCTTGAAGCAAAGAAACCTTATTGGCCACAATGCGATGTTTCATAGCCTTAATATATATAGCCTTCCTTTATAAATATTCTAACCATCACAAAAATATTTTTTCATTTCGAAACAGTAGTTCCAGCTTTATAATATTAGTTTAGATTATTAGAAACCATATATAATTATAATAAACATTTATTACATATCTTACAACCTGGAACTTCGTGACCTACAATCGAACTCACTACTAGACACAAAATGTCTTTCTTTCTAGAGCCTACATCAGGGTGGGTGAAACGGTTGTCGAAAATCTCAGTGCTTTCGTTTTTGACACATTGAGGTTCGCTATCGAGGGTATCATTTTCCAACGATATGTGTTAACCTTCGACGTTCATATACCAGAAATATCGGCAGCTTCTAGTAAGTTGAAATAATATGTATATATCATTGTCGACCTGTTTGTCTGTCCTTCCACTAAGTGGAAGAGGCAAAAGCTCTCTGCGTTTAATAAATCGATTTTATTTACTGTTAAGTAGTTGATTAGACTTTTGTGCCGTGTTGAACCCGACATACATAAAGTTGATTGAAAAAGCTGAAGATGAACTATAATTTTAATCTGTTTCAGGCAGCTATGATTTGTCGTTCAAAATATTGGGCGGAGATGTCTATGGCAATGGTGTCATGAAGTAAGTTATGTTGGAATCCTAGTTTAATTAAAGGTAACATTAATTAAACTAGCTAATTTATTCAGCCCAAAAGTGGGTAATTATATAAAACTATAAGATAATTATATATATAAATGCTACTAATTAAAACAAAAAAAAAATACAAACACAGAAATACTTTATTATGGAAGGGCATTACTTAGCTGTTGCTGCAACTACAGAGTTGCAGCGCCAATGTTCAGTGATGCCCTACACACGGGACACTAAGAGTGCCAGCAATAAGTTAAAAATTTTAAAAGAGAAAAAAAAGATTAAGAAATGTGAGTTTTAGTGAAATTATCATTAATAAGTTATGGCATTTTTACATAAATAATGATCTAAATGATAAAGTTTCTTTGCCTTTTCCTACGCTGTGTTGTTGAAATCTATATCTATATTTATATACGCATCAACTTTAATAACCGATTATAACGCGAAATATATTTTTCCCGTGACGCTTGCTGCCAGTATCTGAAACGTCGGGAAGTAGTCAAAGTTCGTTATTCCAATTATTTCCGTTTTAAATATTATGCGTTTCGTTTGACATAGTTCTTACTTGTTTATTTTCAGTTTAAAAATTGTGCGACCTCGCGTAAGAGGTGTGATAGGTACATCTTTGAGGATTGAGAATGGCGTCTTCCTCAATATCAACGACTGTGAAATCAGTGTTAGCCTCGGCGATTTTAAGGTACTTTTTTCTTTAATTTTTATTATAAAGCTTGAGATATATGTCAAATAAGTGGCACATTTATTTTTTAATGATAGAGTCAGACAACATAGCACATTCACTCGATGGAAGATAAAATATTTTCAGACGAAGTCGAAGACGAAGATGTATCGGAAAAAATATAAATTGATTAGAAAAGCATGGAGATCGAACCCTCCTGGGTTCGTCCCGTCCCGTTGATTATTAGCCAACGAACCCGGCAAATTCTTTAATTTTTTTCTAATTGTTCCCCTGTTTCGCTAAAAAGGGGCTTTTAGTAACATTTAAAATTTTGTAAGTAAATATTTTAACATAGACATTTAAGTAGATATAAATTGAATTGTGTTTTATAATTGCATTCTTTTTCAGCCAGTAATCACGGGGTTGTGGAATAATACAATAGCGAGTGATTTCATATCGAGGTTTTTCGGTAACCTCATTCCGGAATTGATGTCAACGTTTGAGGTAGTAAATTGATACTTTCTTAAATTTAAAATGATGCAAATTATTTTAAAACCTCTTTACAAAAACAAATGGCGACGCGGAACTCGAACGGGCATCTATAGGGTTCCGTACTCCTGCTTTAACTGTTGTCAATTTTTATTAATCTAATTACAGTGCTTATTTATATAATGCCATCATGTGCAATAACATGTGAAAAGTAAGTTTTCAAATTATAAAAATTAATTATTAGACCCATATAATAGTAAGTGTGTAATGTCTTGGTACTAAGCATGACTCCGGTTTTAAGAGGCTTAAGAGGTTATATCCAAAAGACGATTCTAAGATTGCCATTACTTCCAAGGTCTTGACTAGTTTAAAATAACTCTTAATTTTTTTGGAAAATTAGAATTACTGAACCCGACTGATTCGAACCTTGTACCTTGATCTGTGGTCGAGTACTCACAGTCTACACATTTTGAATGTATCCTCTAAAATTGATGATTTTTTTTCAGACCGAAATCAACCAGACTCTCAGTATTATTGTCAAGACTGTTGGAAACGAAATCCTCAAAGATATCAATATCATTGATCTCATACCTCAAACCAAACCATAGTTTAGAAATTTAAAGGCTTTTCGGCATTGTGTTAGTATAACAAAAATTTCGTAAATACGACAATAAATTAACATTTTCTATGTATGCCGTTTTTAATTCACGTATAAAAATATGTACATGTTGTATTTTATTTTATAATGTAATTTTAATTTCTTGATCTATTTAACGGCGAAATGATTCCCATCTTATTTACATATTACAAGAGTTAAAATATAAATATGTTGTTATTCAACGAACAATATTGCGCACAGAAAGCACGACGTGTGAAAGAGAAAAAAACAATCGCCTTCTTTGTTAAAATAAAGGAAATTACATTAGGGACGCCTAGATTATTTTTGAATGCAAACATAATAAACTGTTTTTAATTAAAAGCGTTTGACTTTTCTAATCACTACATAAGTAAATATATATCTTAGTACTTAATTTTGTATGTATTAATATGATATCGTTATTTGGATACAGTTACCAATACGAAGACGCTATCGATAATGTCTCATTAGAACGGTTATAACTTATACCTATCAAATATTACTGTTTAGTATAATATTATAGCTTTATGGTTATGTTACAAAATACACCAAGAAGTTTAAAACTAAATACTATTTTGTACATTGTCATCTTAACTTATCATGTTCCCACATATCTCAAGGCACGAAAGACAAGCCACACAACCGCCATCTTATTTGCTTGTCTAGTAAAGAGATAAGTAAAGCTTATTTTCATACTGTTATATTGTTCCTAAATTGTACATTGAAGTTAAATTACTGGTTCTTAAGGGTATTTAAACCTTTATGTTGTATTGTATTGCTTTTTTAAACAAATAATCCTTCTTTCTAATAATATTGCGGTTTTGTGTGTTTATTTGTAAGTTTTATAGATTTAGTTAATTGTTTTTCAGCAAATAATATTTAATAATGTTTTTCTAAAAGCGCCATCTCTTGGAATTAACTAAATACGTTAAGGGTTCCAGAAAAATACTTGCAAGGATCCAAATATATATACTGAAGCAGAGTTTCTTAACCTTAAAAGAGATGTCAGTTAATTACTTTTATGTTATTTTTAAATTTAACTTATAAGTAACTATGATATTTCTATCTTAAATCTACGAAAAACCTTACGTGTATCATATTTACAACGTCACTTTTTTGATTTTAGTTCATAATTAATTTGGCCGTTTTACTTTCGGTTTATCACTTTTATAATACGTTAATCATAATATTATATAAAAATAAGAAATGGTATTACACTTATTGGTTTTATCTTTTCTTCCATTAGAGCGTCTTGATAATGTAAGAAAAGACTAGATTTCTATTGAAAAAGTTTTTAAAGCGTATATTTGAAAATCTGATAGCTATTTTATACGTCATCCATTGAATACCAATTATAGGCAGAATCAGTAAAAAACGCGTAAGAAATTATTCTAGATATGCCCATATGCCCTACTTGTTCCAGATTCTAGATAAACATGTAATAAGTTTCTCTAAGGTTTAACATTATCAAAATTTCAGTTTCAAATTACTCGATATTTCTATGTTAACACGGTGACAGTGTGAAAGCACGAGCTTCGGTAATCTCGTTAGAAACCATTTAGCGATCAATCAACAAAGGTTAATTTCTGATGCACGTACTTTAATCGTCTTTTGAATGCAAATGAAGCTTCTACCTGAACCTATTAAGGCCAGGCTGACGTGCTGTGTTCTGTACTATAATGCCTTGCTCTTATATTCAATGTCAGAGAGAAATACCTACTTATACTCCAATAAAAGTTAAATCTAGTGTACCTTCTTCGGGCTTCTTGGAGCCCGGAACAGGTAATCGTATATCCCCTGCATCTGTATGTTAATTGTTGTTTGCCTGGTTTTCGAACCACGACCTCCTGCTTAACGAAAATCTAGGTATCGTGACGTGTCTTACTCAATCTTGTCTTTATTGCAGTATGTTAACATCAGTTAAATTCTAGTAATATGGTCTGTGTGTTCAAGTAATAGGAATCTAAAAAGGGACTATCTGTAGTTTATGCGAGTAGCACACATTGAAATAAAACATTATTATCAGTTTAAAATGCGAAATATTAGACGGGCTCGTTGTCTCATGTTAGCAATGTATGGCTAATGATCAATGGGTCGTGGGTTCGATCCCCACCAGGTCCCACATGTTGCTATTTTTTTCTGGAACATGCTGGACTTCGTCTGAATACCTGGGTATGATGGTGGCAGGAAGGTGGTAGGTACAGAATTTCGTCCGGGTCACGAATCACCGTCCTCAGATGAAAAAATCGTGAAGCTTAATCGCGTTTTGGTGTCAGTCTGAGAATTTCCGAATATCCAAAGCCAAAATAGGCCGACAGTGCATCTTGTTTAGATGCTATTGGCTGGGGTATATACCCCAGCATTGATGGCAGGTGATATCACCCCAACCAACCACTAAGTGTACCCCACGCCATCTCTGTCCTCCTCTACCATTAATAATAAAAAAAACAGATATTAGGTAATTTATTTTTAATTTTATTAGCGTAACAGTTTTGACATTAAGAACACCCTCCATCTTAAGTCCTCGTGGCCACAGTTGCTGTAAAGCATCGGAAACGATAGGCTGCTGTAAAATATATAAATAAAATAAAATTTAAGTTATAAAAATGATGTTAATATTGTGTAGAGGTTGTTTCTCGTCCCTGGTACCAGCTAACGGCGGGCTTCACAGCAAGATTTGCCCGACTTCGTTAAATTTTGTACAAGAGATCTATTCCTTTGTTATTAAAGTATTGCTATCCTACGTCTCGAATAAGACACAAAGCAAGCAGATGCAGCGAGCGATGTTACCAAAGGAATATTTCATAAAGGAAATCAAACAGCACTATAACAATGAAAATATATTGTACTAGCTGTGTCAGCGACTTCGTTCGCAAGTTATTTTGGGCAACGATTTCTTTTTGCAAACATCCTCCGCAGTTTGATAAATTATAGATGTCATCCACGATGTCGTCCGGGGACATTGTATATGTCTATCTGTCGCGGTATTTTTTTTGGATCGTTAAAAGTGGAATCACTCTTTACTCTTTTTGGACATCTTGAACTGTTTTCGCCGCGCACGCAACGGAAACCCACAAAGCTGAATAACGCTCCCCGTTTGTTTCTTTACTCCAATCGTTCGCAGCCTGATATTATATATACCTCAAGGCCTTCACCAAGCAATGATTAAACTAACAGAAAAATTTCAATTCGAACCAGTAATTCCTGAGATTATCGCCTTCGAACAAACAAACTTTTCAGCTTTATAAAATTAGTATACGAACTTTATTTGCACAAGAAACAATAAATGAATAGAGTGTGGACATTAACTTAAATGTGTAAGATACCGACAAACTCTTCAGCTTTATATATTAGTGTAGATGTACGACATTTTTATTTCATTGCCAGATGCAAGAACAAATAAAAATGATCTTCCGACAGTTGAAAAGTCGCATATAATCAACCGTGGTTTTCCTGTCATTTGCATTATGTTATTTCATGTCGGATGAGTATTGTTACACCAAATTTCTTGGTGATTTGTAATCTCTTTGATTTCTCCTGGTAATAGCCTACATTACCATTTTGAACCAAATTTCAGTTAAATTTGTTATGTTGTACGACTATATTTTGTATAGACTTCATAAATACTGAGAGTTTTTAATTTCATGACAGAGGAGGACAGATGATGTTCATTTGATTAAAGGTGAAATACACCATCCATATAGCATATCACAATATGTGCTGTGGACTTATTTTGCATTTGGATTCCGAAATCCACAGTCTAAACTACTCTACTGTACACACGTACTGTGGTTCTTGACCCAGACGAAATTTCGATATTTCTTTCGATCATAATATCCAGAATTCCAGTTACATAAAAAATATAAATTGGTTAGAAAGATGCTCAACTCGGTGCGGATCGAATCCGCTAATCGTTAATTATTAGCTGTAGGTACATTGTCACTGTTAGGTTAAAAAATGATCGTCTTGTGTTAAATTATTATTCTATGGTTGTGTCCAATTCGTTGTTGTGAGTTGTGAATTTTTGAATAAAAGTGAATATCCACAAACTGTTCGTGCCAACGTAAGTTTAATTTAAAAAGTTTTCAGCAACGGATTTTGCGCTTGGCTAGGATTAGTTGTAGTAGACTCGTTGCTTGCTAGCCTATTATAGAATTTCACACTTTTTGTTTTCAATTGTTTAAAGTACTTTATTCAATTTTAATACTTGCGTAACCTACAGATGATAGTTATTAGAAGGTTTTGTGAGGTGGTCATTTTATTTCCTTCCTTCATTTTAAAATTTAGTTAGACGCGTGACATTAAGGACACACTCCGTCTTCAGTCCCCTCATGACCACGACTGCTGCAAAGCGTCTGAAACGTTGGACCGTAGTTAAAATAAATTCTAAATAAGTTTACTAATATTTTACCTTTTAAGCCGTAAACTAAAATTTTACTTCAAGTTAAATTTACATCTCCTGCTTAAGTATATATATTCTTATCTGTATCTCTTGATCTAGATTATTACAATTTGTGGTCTGTGGTGCTACGTTCGTGTTGAGGTCGCTAAACATGGTTAAGTCTAATTAACTTCTATGATTATAATACAATATATTATATGTCATAGATATTATACATATATGTATTAGACATCAATGTTAAGAATTCCACAAATGATTGAGGTTAATTGGCATTTGACTATTAGTACGGGATAGTTAAGAGGAAAAGTCGATTTATTTTCCGTTAATATAAAGAACATTATTTGAAACACACTTAGTATATTCTGTTGTTACCACGTGTAGTATAAATTTTAATTAAATAGTTTTAAAGGTCAAGTTACATTAGTAACTAATTTTTAATTTAATTTAGCTACGGCCTGACGTTTTTACTTTACAGCAGCCATGGCCACGGGGAGACCGTTAAAAGTATTTTATTTAAATGTTTACTACTCGCCTAAACTGTTCGGTCGGCCCGGGCACAGGAGTTTGTC